AGACTGGCAAGGAACTGTTATGTCACTCTTTGGTTTGACAGCCCATTTCTGATGTGGATGCTGAAGTATTAGCATCTCCAGGATACTGTGAGGGTGTGTGAAGACCTTGCAAAGTTATACTTGAAAGTTATATTGTGCAATGTCCTACAGACTTGAATGTTCTCTACTATGCTAGTTGCCAAATAAACGGCACTTGTAATATGGAGTCATCCCAAACTGAAACCCAGGGAACTTGAGAACTTGACATTGATCAAGTCATTTCCTCTGCCTGGTCCTCAGTCTCCTCACTGGAAAAGGGGATGTGGTTTGGGGTTAGGGTTCTTGTGCTACTAGATTTCTGATAACTTCCAATCTCTACTGCTTGGTACTGTCTTTGGGACCATGAAGCAAGCAGCATAAGTAACCCTAACTGTGCAGATGAGGGGATGGAGGCTCTGAGAGGTGAAGTGACCTGCCCAAGGTCACAGGGCTCAGTGGGACAGGGAGGGGTGTCAACCTCAGGTGCTTTCCAGAGGACCCCCACCTCAGACATGCATAGAGTGGGGGAGGGGCACATGCACCTGTCATTGTCCCACTGCTTTACCCACTTCCTACCTTCTTTCATGAGCAGGCCACACCAGCTGTGCCCAGCCGCCCTGGGAGCTGGGCCAGGCAGTGCTGGGTACATGCTCTTACCCCTATTACTCAGTGAGGAAACTTGAGGCCCAGAGAGATGCTGTGACTGGGAAAGCAGACCCACAGGACCTCAGAGCTGGGGCACCCTCAGAGTACATCTATCTAGCCCAATTTCGTGCTGTGACAGGTGGGAACTCTGAGGGCCAGAGAGAGAAAAGGCTGGGCCAAGATCACTTGTCCAGGTGGTGGCAGAGCTAGATCAGAGACCTCAGGCAAGTCACTTCCCTTTTCCGGGTCCATTTTGAAATGTGTGCCATGGGGAACAGTAGCCCCCGCAGAGTATCAGCAAGGATGGAATGAGATCTTGCACCCAGAGCACCGGGCCCCAGGGCCTGACAATGATGATGACAAAGACAAGGAGGAGCAGGATGAATGCCCAGGATACCACCAAACCTGATGTCTCAGGAGGCTGGAAGTGTGGTGGGAGCCTTGAAAGCCCAGGATGAGCCTTGGGGGCAGGGAAGCCATGAGGGGTTTGGATCTGGCCCAGTGAAGGGAGCTGGGAAGTGGTAAGGGCAGCCTGGCTGGGAGAGGGTGGCTATTGTTGGAGAGTGGTGAGGGATGGGGGTGTCGCTCCCATGACACTGTGAGCCCCTCCAAGGCAGTGGCTGGTGGCTGCAGTGGGCAGAGCATGCATTTAGCCTCAGAGGCTCTTAGATTCAAGTCCCAATGCTGCCACTTCCTGACTGTGACATAGGACAAGTGTCTTTCCTCTCAGAGCCTTAGTGTCCTCACCCATGGAATGGGCCTGATCATCTCCTCCTCTCAAGGATGTCTAATAAATGAAAACCTAGGTTCATATAAGAAATGGTACATGCATATTCAAAACAACTTTATGAACAATAGTCAACAACTGGAAACAAGTGAATTGAGAAATGTTTGTCCATCAACAAGTGTGAGAGGAGTCAGAAAGCACAGGCCTGGGCTGGAGAGAAAACTGTGGGAGCTGCCAAGGTACATGTACACATTTCCAAGGGCCCTGGCACATAACAAGCTCTCAGAAAACACTTGCCAAGACACATTTGTGGGCCTTCATGCTAGAAGAACCTGTGGAAGACCTGAAACTGGGGGCAGGAGGGAGGTCTGCCTTAGTCTCATGTTTGCCCTGTGAGTGAGGAGATAAGCCACATCCCAAATAACCAGCCTGTCTCTCCTGGGGAACTCAGAGTCTGTCCGCATTCCCCAGGGCCTTCCTTCCTCTCTGCTCTAGAGGCCACCTTTCTGCATTCTTCCTCACTGCCCACCCTGTTCTCAACACTGCTCACTGCAGAGTGTGTGTGGGGGGGTGTGACCCTGATGAAGATGACCATAAGGAAGAGTGTCTGGGGGCCTGGGGGGATGGCACCCTCCCCAGTACCTTGTCTCTGATGGCCGTTTTCTCCTCCTTTCCAGATGAGCTGCCATATCTCAAGTGTCCTTTGCACACAGTGCTTAAACTCACACCTGTGGCTTATGGTGAGTGCCCCCACCCTCATCTGAGGAAAGACACATAGAGAGCATAAGCATGCTTCCAGTGCATACCATTTGCCCAGCAGAGTCCTGGGGGAGGTTTCTTGGGTGGGTAATTGGATGTCCTGGTGAAGGAAGAATTGGCAATATTAGGATGAGAACAGGGAAGAACTGGGATGGCCTCTAAATCCGGGGCCTGTCCTCAACTTTCTCTGGCTCTACCAAAGCACCAAACATGGAACACTAACCTGTAGAAGAGATCCCCAGAGGGGACCAGAGGAGTAAGTGTGGGTTGGGCCAGATTGAAGAAAGATCTCAAAGACCAGCCTGGTCAGTTTAGACTGTCTCTTGGGACATTGGTTTGCTATGAAATATTTATGAGCAGTGGAGAGAGAGACTCAAATATCTTCTGGGGTGTGAATAGGGAAGACAGTGCACTGAAGCCCAGAGTAAGTTGCAATCCACAGGGATGGAGCTAAGGGGGGCTTCCACAGGCATTGGGCCACCTCTGACAGCACCCAGTGATACCACTCTCCTTTTTCTTCAGGCTCTCAGAACCTCTTTGTGACCTTCCACACCTCTGTTGTTGCCATAATCATTTTGTCCTCTAAATAAACTTTACCTGGGACTGATTGCCCCAAGGCAATGGCCCCAGGACTCTTCCACCACTTCAGCACTGTTAAGTGCTGGTCCACAGGGCTCCATCACTATTATATAGATTAGATTGCTGTCTCACAGGGCACAAGAGTTGGGGGAGTCCCCAGAGATCATCTATTCTCATCTCCTTTCCATTCAAAGTTGAGCAACTGAGGCTCAGAGAACTCTGAGACTATTAGGGGCAACTGGGAGAACATCCCATTGGCTTCTCTTAGACCTGGTGTCTTCCCCATACAACACACAGCTGGTCTGCATTCCCCTCCCTACAGAGTAGTCACAATCTGCACACTGTGTGAAGCTCAGGGTATGGGTAGTGATGGGTGAGGGAGCGAATGACAACTCAGGGAAGATCTGTACATACCTTGGGGGCTTATGGATGGACTGGTTGTTCTTTTCTGAGGCTGCAAAGTGGAGTCCATCTACCTGAACGTGGAAGCCGTAAACACACATCGGGAGAAACCTGAGGTAGGTGAGGGACTCTGTGGCCTAAGCTGGCACATGGTGAAAGCACCCACCTGCACAGAAAGGCCACCCCAATCCCACAGAGCTTGTTTCATACCAAGGTAGAATAACCAGCACCCAGAAATGCGGGAACCGTGGCCCAGGCCTGAGGTGCCATAGAGATGCAGGGCTAGAGCAACACCTACTCCAAAGTCCTCTGGTTGAGATTCCCCAGGGGCTTGCCTGAGAAAAAGATCCAGGCCTGGCTGAAGGAGAGGAGCCTGGCAGTGAGAACAAGAGGCAGAAGAGGGGCTGGGTCTCCACAGTGCTGGCTCTTTCCTATTAATCCTGGGCTCTCTCCTCTCAGAATGTGGACATCACCCGAGAACCTGAGGAAGCTCTGGACACTGTCCCTGCCCACTACTGAGCCCTTTCCAAGAAATCAAACTGCCTTTGCTCTCACTGTCTCCCACTTTTAAGAGCTGCTATTCTTGCAATTCTCCTACCTTAAGACCCTGGACTTGGCCTACAGGTCTTGATTTCTAGCTACAACCAAGGAGCTGTCTAGCTGTGAATGAAACTTTCTTAATTGCTAAACACTTATCAATAAAGATTTTTCTTGCTGCCCACAAAAGGGGAGAGGAAGTCATTGTGAGTCTTCTCCCACAGGATCTTCTTAAGATCCCAACCTTGTGAAATTCTTCTGGTGCTGTGGGGTATGGAATGGATGAGGACTTCCTGAAGGGAAGGGTTCTGAGGTAGCACCTCTAAAAGTGAGGGAGGAGATTAAGTCTCTATGAGTACATATGGGCCTTGTTCCTTGGTGGGCAGCATGGCTGAGGACCTGACACTTTCATTCCTACACTCAGAAGAATCTGTACCTGGACCACAGTGTTCCTCTCTTCTCCAACTCCTGCTGCCATCCTGAGTGATTTCACTGTCCATACAAATTGTCCAAATAATACCCTGGCCTCCAAGTCCCCTGACCCCCTCAACTCTAGTGACCATTTCCCCCTCAGCCATTCACTCCATGGATCTTGGCATCATCTAGACATCCCGCCCCCAGTATGATTTCTTTTTTTTTTTAATATTTTATTTATTTGACAGAGAGAGACACAGCGAGAAAGGGAACACAAGCAGGGGGAGTGGGAGAAGGAGAAGCAGGCTTCCCACTGAGCAGGGAGCCCAATGTGGGGCTCGATCCCAGGACCCTGGGATCATGACCTGAGCCGAAGGCAGACACTTAACGACTGAGCCACCCAGGTGCCCCTCCAGTATGATTCCTTAAATACAAGGATCCCACTATCTGACCACTGGCCCCAAGTCCTTACAACTCTGTCATCCACAGGATCCCTAGAAACATGCCTCCCACATAGTGGGCATGTGTGTAGTATTTCTTGAATGAACAATATTTGTCTTGTACTGCATCAAGAGTATAATCTTTTGATTCCTCCATTGTCTTCCAATCCACCAGTTCTCTTCCTCCTCATTGTTCTACCATCCCTAGCCAGATTAAATCTTATGTTCCATTTCTTCAGCCACACTCCATGCATCTAGGTATCAGCAACCCAGTGGTGAAGAGACAGACACTCATATACTCACTGCCTTGATTCCTTTGTTCTTCCATCATAGCCACCAGCAAGACCCAAACCTTGTATAATCTACATTACTTTTTTGGGAGGATCTACTGCTTGAAACAAACCTACGTTTATCTGCTTCCACAGCCACCCTTAAATCCTGTTCAGTCAGGGTCACCCTCTATTTCCCGGCACTCTATCCCATCCCACCTTCTCAGGCATGGGCTACTTCAGTCAATTCTTGACTATTCTATATCTATCTCCTGTCCTTTATTGGCTTTTACCCCCACACTCTCTGCAACATGCTCAGATCTCTCTCTCTCTTATCTCAAGAAAACCCTCCCTTGTTCCTGTGTCAACATCTAGTCCCACTTTATCTCTCCATTCTTATACAAATGTCTCAAAATGAATCTATATTTACTGTCCAGAACCCTCTCCCTCTGCCTTCTATTCTAGGCTTTTCCCCCCTATATCTTTGCTCTATCTATAATCCCCTTGCCTGCCATGCTCTCTCCAGGTCTCTATCCCACTGAAATCATACTTTCATTTTAGCCTAAAGCTGCAGCCCACCTTCTTTGAAGAGCTACACTGATCTCTAGTTCTTCTATGAACCTGTAATGTCACTCACAACAACCTAAGCACAATAAAAGATAGACAAAAACCTCCAATTCATCTTGCAAATTTAATGTAACTCTGATACCAAAATATGACAGCACACAAGAAGCAAACAACAAAGTAGGATCAGCAAGCAGATTTTTCATAGCGTGTCACCCTCAGCTAATTGATAATATCTGCTTATACTGCTGTGTGGACAAAAATTCCAAGGATGTACCTTGGCTCCTTGGGAAGAACTGCTGCAATTCATTAGCCGTATCTGTAAACCTGGGAAATACACCTGAAAACAAAACACCAAACACGAACACATTTTAGCACCAAATATACTGTTTTCTCATACTTCCTTCATTGTCCTCATCTTCCCACCCAAACCTCCCACTTTGGGGTTTCTTATAACATTTCTCAGCTCTTATATCCATTCCCATGGGCCATGGCTGTGGCAATGTTGTAATTACCTGAAACCTCACTAGCCATAGGAGAAGCTACAGGCACCAAGGCTGGTGGCTCCACCACCAAAGCCAGCACCATTTCTTGGTCCACCGCCAAAGCCAGCACCACTGCTTGGTCCACTGCTGAAGCCAGCACCTGTGCTTGGTCCACTGCCGAAGCCAATGATAGAACTGGGTCCACCATTGAAGCTGGTGCTGGTGCAGGGTTCGCCAATATAGCCAGTGCTGGTGTTGGAACCACTGCCAAAGCCAATGATGGTACTTGGTCCTCCGTTGAAGCCGTTATTAGGCCCAGCACCAAAGCCATCACTGATGCTGAGGCCACCACTAAAGCCAGCACTTGTATCAAGTGTGCTGTTAAAACCAGCATTGGTGCCCAGTCCATCACCAAAGCCATTGCTCGAGATCAGTCCACCACCAAAGCCAGCACTGGTGCTCAGTCCACTACCGAAGATAGCACTGGTCCCTGGTCCACTACCGAAGCCAGCACTGGTGCTCAGTCCACCACTAAATCCAGCACTGGTGCTTAACCCATTGCCAAAGATGAAACCAGTAGTCACACTGGATCCATCACCAAAACTAGCACTGGTAGCACCACTAAAGCAGGTGCTAGTGCTAGGATGGCCACCACAGCATAGGTTGGTGTTAGACACACTGCCAAAGCAGAGGCTAGTGCTGGGAAATCCACCAAAGCCAATGCTGGTACTAGGAGCAATGCCAAAGTCAGTAGTGGTGCTAAGTGCCCCACTAAAGTCAGCACTGGTGCTGAACACACCGCCAAAGCCAGAGATGGTGCTGGGTGCACTGCTGAAGCTGGCACTAGTGCTGGCAGCACTGTTAAAACCAGCACTGGTGTTGAGTGCACCACCAAAGCCAACACTGGTGCTGAATGCACCACCAAAGCTGGCACCAGTGCTGGGAGAGCCACCAAAGCAGATGCTGGTGCTTAGTGTACCACCAAAGTCAGCGCTGGTGCTAGAAGAGCCACCAAAGGAGACACTGGTGCTGAGTACTCCATCAAAACCAGTGGTGGTGCTAGGAGAGCTGCCAAAGCAGATACTGGTAGTAAGTGTGCCACCAAAGCTGGCACCAGAGTTGGGAGAGCCACCAAAGCAGACACTAGTGCTCAGTGTGCCACCAAATCCAGTGCTGGTGCTAAGTGCACCACTAAAAACTGTGCTGGTTCTGGGTATACTGCCAAAGCTGCTACTGGTAATGAGTGCACCACTGAAGCCAGCAGTGGTGCTGAGTGTGCCTCCAAAGCCAGAGCTGGCTCCACCACTGAAACTGGGACTGCTGCTGAGTGGGACACTGAAACTGGAGCTGACCCCACCACCAAAGCTGGCACTGTTACAAGATGTGCCACCAAAGCTAATGCAGGCTTCACTGTTGAAACTAGAGCTGGTGCTGGCTGCACCACTGAAGCTAATGCTGGCTGCACCACTGAAACTAGTGCTAGTGCTGGGTATGCCACTAAAGCAAATGCTGGCTGTACTGCTGAAGCTGGCACTGGTCCTGGATGTGCCACCAAAGCTAATGCCAGCTCTGCCACCAAAGCCACCACTGGGGCTGGGCGCACCACTGAAGCTAATACTAGCACTATCGCTGAAGGTAGCCCTGGTGCTAGCTCCTCTGCTGAAGTCGATGTTGGTGCTGGCTTCTGCATTTTCTTGGGCTCTGGTCTCAATTTCAAATGAAAATCTGTTCCAGGACTGAGCATCATCGCCTAACTCTTCCCTTGTTAGGCAGTCGATATCCATGTCATCCCAATTCCAGGGCCCAGCCACAGCTTCCTCTCCAATCCCCATTTGGGCTCTTGCCTCAGCCCTTGCCTCAGCCTCAGCTGCAGCCACAGCTGCAGCTTGGACTTCCATCTCCACTGCCTCCCGGTACTGAGCAGCCCAGTCCTTGGGGTCTTTCTTCTGTACCTGAAATGGGAATGATAATCAATATAAGGACAATAACATTTGTAATTATGCATTAGGTACACACTATGAGCTTTGTATAAAATCAATAGCCGTATTTTTTTTAAGATTTTATTTATTTATTTGACAGAGAGAGAGAGAGACAGTGAGAGAGGGAACACAAGCAAGGGGAGCGGGAGAGGGAGAAGCAGGCTCCCCGCAGAGCAGGGAGCCCGATGTGGGGCTCAATCCCAGGACCCTGGGATCATGACCTGAGCCGAAGGCAGCTGCTTAACAACTGAGCCACCAGCACTCCAGCCGTATTTTTTTTTTTTAATTCTTAGCTTTCTGGGGCTCTATCAGTCCTGAGATCCAATTTCAGCTCTGATAACTAAGGTGCTGTGTGACCTTGGACAAGTTACTTAACCTCACTGAGAAGATGGGAAATGAAAAGAAAGTATGTTATGGATTGGATGTTTGTGTCTCTCCCTCCAAATTCATATGTTAAAGCATCAGCCCCCAGTGTGACTATATTTGGAGACTGGGCCTTTATAGAAGTAGAGTTAAATGAGGTCATAACGGTGGGTCCAATAAGATTAGTGTTTTTATAAGAGGCTCTTTCTCAACCATGTGAGAACACAGCAAGAAGACATTCATATGCAAGCCAGAGGGAGAGGCTTCATCAGAAACTGACACTGCTGGACTTTGATCTCAGACTTCCAGCCTCCAGAACCATGAGAAAATAAATTTCTGTTGTTTAAGCCACCCAGTCTGTATTATTTTGTTAAGACAGTGCAAGCAGACTAACACAAATTATGAAAGAAAGAATGAAACAAAGTAAACTTTATGTTCGACAGCATTCTCAGACATCAGTGAAGTTCCATACACTTATATACTAACTGCAGGCTGCCCTGTACCTAACTATCCCTGCACACAGTGTGCCTCAGCTAGGGTACCCTTAATATGACAAGTCAGGGCAGCTCTCCTATTACCTTGCATGCAAACTTGAGGACTTTCATCTTGCTAGTCTCATGGTAGGAGCGCAAGCCCCAGAAGAACTCATATTCAGGTGGTCTGCTGTTAGGGACCCTCTTGTACTCCAGATACCTTAGAGAAAGGAAATGAAACTTGCTTCTAACCAAACAAATCTGTTGTGCAACCACTGGGCACCAGGTGGCAACTTCCTTCAAATACTAAACTCAGCTCCTGGAGAAGGATTTCTAAGACCTTCCTTCCCCAGACTCACTCCCAAACACAGTTCATGGTATTGGTCTCCAATATTGAGTCATTTCCCTTTGGACCTGTGCAAGGCAGTCACTTGATGCTTCAGAGAAGGCATGTATAGGGCATGATGTCACAGGAAGGCCAAAGTATCTTGCCACCTGTGAGGAGTAAACCCAAGTTCCTATTGGGTGTGTTGTAAACAGAGGAGCCATTCTTCAGGCACCCTGCTCTGAGCACACCCCAAAGCCAGGGCCTTGTCTTTGGTCTAGCCCAGTCCTGGAACTGTCCACTCATGGGAATTGTGGACAGGATTCATTTCTAGGGCATAGGATACCCATACTACCTCTAAAGCTAGTGTAATAAAAGAGCTGTTTGAGCACTTTCTGAACCAGACCAGCACACTCGGAACACTTCAGGGCCAGACAAAGCCCCCAAACACCACTTACTTCTGCTTCACAAACTCGTCTGTGATGAGCTTCCTTACTTCCCCAAAGAGCGAGTGCCTCACCCTGACAATGGGAAAAATAACCCATAAGCAGAAATGAAAACTTCCCAGATGAGGGAAGAGGCATTTCTCAACATGGAAGAAACCTCTCTAGCACATGCAGCAGTCCCAGTGAAGCCAGGAAAGTAGTAAACACATGGTCACTAGAAGCAGCAAGTTGAGGCCAGCTGGTTCTTTGTCAGGGATGCCCCTTAAGTTCTATCCTCTATCTCAGCTTAGAATGACATAGGGGTGGGAAGATGCAGAGAGTTCAGGACCATATCACCCATCCACCCAGGTCAGAGCCCTGGACCCTCTACCCAGTCCAGCACCCCCACCCACTCCACCAGACCACCAAGCTGATGCAGTCCTGGGGCCATCCTCTCTTTCCAAACGACAACATGGACAGCAAGCGCTGAGAGAGCCCAATCATACCCAGGGCGCAGCCCCAGCTTGTGCAGCACCTCCCAGATGACAGCTGCAAGGGGAGGCAAAAGGAGACAGGGACAGAAAATGAATATGTAGAATTCCAACTGTGCCACCCATTCAGCTGCATGCCCAGCCACTCACCCTCACTGGCCTTGTTGCCATTCATAAAAATGACAGAATCACCATGAGAAGACCTAGTTTGGGTGTGTCCTTGGTCCTAGGGGAATAACAAGGTAGAGAGAAGGTTTATGTCCAGCGGCCATCTGCAAAAAACACACCAGCCAGCTCACTAGGCTATCCTCTCCCAGATTCCTCAGACGTGACAGAATTCTGCCCAGTCTATGCTTCAAGCTCTATATGACCCTGAGCAAGGCTCTTGGACTCTTGAGTCTCAGTCTCCTATTGAGTAGAAGGGGAAAATCCAATCTTACCCCACCCCAGGTAGCCAAGAGGATGGAAGAATGCCTGTCAACCTGGGACAACCCAGGGACCCAGCCAATGTGAGTCCCTTCTTTCTCTCCCAGACCCCTCTGCCCCAAAAGAATTCTAGGCACAGCCCCAGTGGTGCTCCTGTCCTTCAAGCATCATGATTCACCCACACCAGGAAAACTTTCCTACAGAACCCCACTACCAAAGCCAGTAGGAGGAGACAAGCAATGACAGGGCTGCTTTCCTGGGAAGCTTCTGGAGAAACAGAAAACCTGACAGGAGGATTGCACTGCTCCAGGCTTCTACACCCTTCAGTCAATCATAATCAAGCACCATTACCATGTGCAGGACTCCAACTATGTGCAGGAACTGGAACGGGGACTTTTTAGGTCCTGTCTTCCTGCCTCTCCAAGGAGATGTGGGGAGAGATGACAGGGATGGGGTAGTGCCAGAGACAGAAGTAGAGCCACCCTCCCACCCCAGCCCTTTCCCAGCTTACGTTCCCAGTATGCCTGCGGAAGATTCCTGAGTGCTGATGAGAATATACAAGCTACTTTGCTTATGAATTTCCTTCAGATTGACTCGAAACATCTGCCAAGTAAAAGAATAGCCCGTGAGATCACAAAATTCAGCCTAGGCATCAGTGAGCTTCCTGAGAATCCCACAGTTCCCTGTGTAGCTGGAGTTTTAAGTGTATATGAGAAATCAGTGAGATAGTGCAGGTAAAGCACTTAGCTAAGTGGTCCCCACTACAGAAAACAGGTAAGAAATGTACTATTATCAGCATCACTTCTGTAATTAGTGGGGATTTAGTGAGATAGAGACTAGGGAATGAAAAGGAGAGGTGAGCATTTGAAATACATTACAGGACACATCCAGCATCAGACAGGACTAAGTTGGGAGGATTGAGTCTTAGCTGTGTTTTACCACTGATTTGCTGTATGACCCTGGGCTAGTCTATGTTCCTAGTTGGACCACTGTATGCCCAACTGCATAGTGATGGGGATGGATTAGTGAGTCTTTGTGGTCTATCCCAGAAGGGACATGTATGTCTTTGTTGATTCAAGGCTTCCCCATTGGGCCCATCCCCCAGGGCTGCCCCTTCACCTTCTCCAGATCGTAGCTTGCTTGTTCAATGATCTCTGGGAAATAGTCATCATATTCTTGGATGACATCCTTCAGCATGTCTGTAGGAAGGGTGAGGTGGGAGCAGCTGGGCTGAGCAGGGGCCACAGAGCTGCAGCCCTTTGGCCAGCCTGTGGAGTCAGTGCAGTCTGAGTTCTGAACTGTGTTAATGGGAGATGCCAGCCATGGCAGAGTGTGAGGAGGGCAGGGGAGGACATATGAGAGAATGAAGAGGCTATAAAAGTAAATGGTTACTCCACGGCATGGGAGAGAGGGGAGTAGAGAGATTTCAGTGAGGAAGATTGTTATGACTCTACCTGAGCGCTTGATGGGGATCTTTGTCTGGTCCTTAACCAACAGGTATTTCACCAACTTATTTGCCTGGGAGAAGAGGAATACATGGGGAGATCTCAATATGTTTTTAGAAAACTTGGAAGAATGATAGAAAAGATGGGAGGTGAAAAAGAGAAGAGACTGGACAGCATTGGATTCTTACCCTTTCTTGCAAAATGGCCACGTCTCGGGGTGGCGGAGGCCTCCAGCCCCATGGAATCAACCTGTAATTACTGCCACCTCTCTCATCCCCATTCAGATGCTTTGACTACATCATTAGAAAGAAGGAAGGTCCAGAGTCACCAGGTGAAAGAGATGGCTCTGTTTCCTTACCCTACTTTCTCCTGAAAATTCCCCAAACCCTTCTTGTAGTGGCTCCTGACCTTACAATTGGCCACCCTAAGTCCTAGATTTGTCTTTCACTGTCTTCCAGCCAGGAGTTTCATTTCTGTATCAGGACAGAAGCAACCCAAGGGCAGGACCTGGAGTTCCTCCTCTTCTTTAGGCCACCACTAACTTTGCTAACTCTATCCCTTGGACAAGTCACTTCAGCTCTCTGGGACTCGGTTTCTCATCTGTAAAACTGGGATCTATGATCCCTGGATAGTAGGAGTTACTTTCAAAACATAAAGACACAACCTGTATGACTACCCAAGACCCTGGCACATGGTAACTACTATGTAAATAACAGTTGAATTATATCCAGGTTGTAGCTAAGTGTATGGGTGTATTATTTCCCCCGCCAATCTGTGAACTGTCAGGGAGCAGGAACTATATCACATTCTTCTCAGCATCTCTCACAGCCTATCCAAACACTGGGACTAGCTCAGGGTAAAAAGTCTCAGTAAACTTTTATAGAACAAATGAACAAACTAGGAGGATAGGAATGGAAAAGAAGTGAAAAGTTAAGGATGGTGATGTCAGAGATCTCACCTTTTGGTTCCTCTTGCCCCGGGTCCTGGTTGTAGGCTCCAGACTCAACTGGGCCAGGTAGTCATCTGCCAGGGCCTGGACAGCAGCAGCAACCTGAGTCTCAAGGGCACTTATGTTGGTCTTAAAGGTGGCCATCTTGGCCTGGGCCCCTTGGTCTACAATTTTAGTCTGGTTTTCAGCTCCCTGGGTCTTAGTGGCAGAGTTATGAACCCTGGACCCTCTCTTGACCTGAAGGGCAGCTTCTAGGGCTTGGTTTGTAATCATTTGAGCAGCAAGTGGAACCTCAGAGACCTCATAGGCAGATTTTGGGCCTTTTTTGGCAGCCTTCTTGCCTTTGAATTTTTTGGGCCAGTTAGCTACTGCTGAGACCTCAGTCTGCCTGCTAGCTCTCTCAGCATTTGGGGTCTCTAGGAGTTCAGTGTATTTATGACCTTAACAGTTGCCTTCTTGGCTTCAGAGGCTCTATTAGTTCTGATGCAGGCTGCTGTGGCATGGGTAGTGGCTGCCTCATTATTAATTTGGCCTTGGGTGGTAGCTGTGTGGGTAGTGGTTGGAGCCAATGGAGATAGCAATAGCACTAGTTATGGCCTTATTGGCAGCCTTCTTAGCTTTAGAAACTTTCTTAGACTTAGTGGGGGCTATCAAGGCCTGGGAGTTAGCTGACCCACTGGTAACTGGAGCCTGGATAGCCTGCAGGATGTCTGGTAGGTTTAGGGCCTGCAAGGACGACTTGATCTGTGTAGTGACACTCTCTTTGCCAGTTGGATACTGGGAGCCTTGGGTTGCCTTAGCAGTAACTCTCTTTGTCTTATTGGCTTTCTTAGGCTGAGCAGTGACTGAAGAAGCCTGAGTATTGGCTGCTTCAGTGGTAGCTGAAGCCTGGTTGATCTGGGGGATGATAGGCCGGTTTAAAGCCTGCAAAGTTACTTTAGGCTTGTCAGTGGCAATCACATTGGCAGATGAGACTGTACGGGCAGCAGGTATGGCCTTAGTAATAGCCTTAATAGGGGCCTTCTTGGTCTTGCTTTTCTTAGGCTGGTTGGCAACTGGAGGGTCCATGGCCAGAGGGTCCTTGGTTGCCGCCAAGAGGGTATGCATCAGCAAGACACTGTCCTCTTCTGTGATCTCAGTCTGTATATCTGGAGGAAAGTGAAGCCCCAGGCTCCCAGGGGGAAGCAGAGGGCCCTACACACTTAGGATTATGATCGGCTGAACCATTTGGCCTCCCTACAGCCCACCCTTTCCACGAAGGCCTCCCCTTCCTCTGAGCAGTGATTAAAGGGGAGGATAAGGGAAGAGGGAGGGAGCAGGAGCTAAAGTCAGGCAGGTTTTCCTCTCCCCCTCCTTCACCTTGCAAGGAAGGACAGGTTAGGCAGGAAATTCTTCAACTACAGAGTGGTAGGGGGCTCAAGATCAGTAAATGACCTCAGGACTGGGCAGATGGGCTGGTGAGAATGCAGAGAGGCCTCACCTGGAATGGGAGCATCCTATAACCGCAGTCATTTGTCCTATCCATTTTTCTGAAAGGTCGAGTAACTGCTGAGCCTGAGGGGAAGGGGCCTGAATTAGGGGAGAATAAGAAGGAGAGGGAGACTCACCAGACCTCCCACTATCCTGAAAGAAGGGGGATCTCATCCAACTTTGGTCCCCAAACGCTTCAACTATGGGGTTCTCATATCTAGAAACCCAGACCACCTATCCGAACCCTAGCCCCATTGCCTCCAAGAAACTGCAAGTCAGTTCTACAGCCCCGCCCCTTAAAACACACGCCCCCCACCCCCCACGCCCGTACTGCAACTTAATAGTGCGCATGCGTGCCAACTGGAGCACATGCGCTTTGGTGTACTGGACAGTCTGACCACCTCAATCTCACAGATAACCCCTGCTCTCAGAGAAGCAGAACGTCTCAGTCCTAACGGCATCACATTTCCGTCCAGCCCTTCCCGCAACACCAGCCCGCTCCCTCTGCAGTACTGCTTTGCACCGCCCCTTCCCTAACACCGCCCACTTCTACTCTGCGGTACAAACATGCACCACCCCTTCCCGATATGCCCCCTCCCTCCTTTCTGCAGTACTTCTCCGCACCTCCCCTTTCCTTAATACGCCCGTTCCGTCCTCTCTGCAGTGTGTCCCTGCACTGCCCCTTCCCCCAAACCGCTCCCCCACTTCCACGTTTGCAAGTGACCGGTCCCACCCTTTCTGCGACATCGATACCCCACCCACAGATCCAATGGTATTAACGCTTTTGTGTATTCCTTGTTCCCGAATACTACCAGCTTCTGTCCCTTCCCTTTTCAAACCATAATCAACGAGGTCCTAGCCGTTCTTCGCTTCCGTCTGAGCCATTCTTGCTATTCAAAAGGGATTCTGCCCTTCATTTCTGGGTCCTGATCCCTACTTTCTGTGGCCCAAACCGGATCCTGTCCCCTTTCACCAGCCTACCGGAGTCCTGCCATAGCTTATCACCCTCCCGAACTGGGTTCTGCTCCTTTCTACTGCCTGAACGATTGTTTTATCTTCCCGCAGTCCGAACCGGGTCTGCATCCCTCCTTTCTGCGGCCCGAACAGAGTCCAGATGTTTCCATTATAAGGCCCAAAGGGGATTCTGTCCCCTCTATCTCCCGTACGAAGAGGGTCCAAGCACCTCTAAACCCGACCACATTAATGCAGTTAGCTTCTGAACCCGCAGCAGGTTTTCTTCACCTTAGGGTCTGTGGAGTCAAGCACACTGAAGCCATAGCTCAGAGGCTCCCACAGGGTCTTCACCAAAGCTGGGTACCTTAGCTCACCTCGTCCTCTGGAGTCCAGAAGGCGTCCGCTCTCTCCAAGCCTCTCCTTAGGTCTGAGCTTGTTGGCTTCCCCTCCCCAGCCGGAAGTGGTCCTGTCTTTTTCCACCTCCAGAGGGGTCTCCTTCCCTGCTTGTCAACCTCCTCCTTCACTCACTGCTTCCAACTTTCCATTCTCCTCAGTGTGGTCTCTTTTCTGCTTACTATCGGTTATTCAGTAATCGCTCTTTCCTAGTCCCATTTGATTTCTCTATCCCCCACCCTGTATCCCCATTCTTATTTGATGGCTCTGTTCCCCCCTAAGAGGACTGTGCTTCTCTGAGCTCCCACATCCCTTCCTACAGCCCCCTCTATGCCAACATTAATTACAGAGTGTGTTGTTGTAGTGTGTGTCTGGGTCTCTCTCCCCAGGAGCTGTTCTGGGGACAGGGGACCAGGTCATATTCCTTTCCCTCTCTCAAGTATGACCAGATTAAGACATTTAGAGGCTCTAAACAGTAAGAGATAGGGTGCCCCCCACATCATATACAATTCAGAATAAAAATAGTAAAGGTAAGAAAGGCTACCATTTTTTTTTATATCCCCGATGACTATATTGATGCTTTAAATGAATATCAACTTATCTGAAAAATTTTACTGGGACCATGTTCCTCCTTTCCTGGTACACTAAGCAACTACTTAGACTCTCTCTTGTAAAATGGAGCACTACTCCCCAGTGCAGCAAACAGTTCTCCTAGAGCATTTATTTATTCACTCAATCCTTAATTATACATTGGGTATACAGCTATGTCAAGGCGCTCACTGGATATGGGCAAACAAAGACAAGTAAGATAGTATGCTTGTCCCTAAAGAAGTCAGATCTATTTTTTTCTAAATATTGTTTTAAATAGGTTACTTTTTAAGTTTTTATTTTAATTCCAGTTAGTTAACATACAGTGTGATATTAACTTCAGGTGTACAAATATGTGATTCAATACTTCCATACATCACCCTGTGCTCATCACAAGTGCACTCCTCAATCCCCATCACCTAATTTAACAGATCCCCCTACCAATCTACCCTATGGTAACCATAAGTTTGTTCTCTATAATTAAGTCTGTTTCTTGATTTCTCTCTCTTGCTCCTTCTCTTTTTTCCCTTTTTGTTTTGTTTCTTAAATACCACACATGACTGAAATCATATGATATTTGACTTTCTCTGATTGACTTAATATTGCTTAGCATTATACTCTCTAGATCCATCCATGTCATTGCAAATGACAAGATTTCATTTTGTATGGCTGAATAATATCCCATTGTATGTATCTACCACATCTTCTTTATCCATTCATCAAACCATTGACACTCTGCTCCCATATTCTCCCTATTATAAATAATGCTTCTATAAACATAAGGGTACATGTATCCCTTTGAATTAGTGGTTTTGTGTTCTTTGGGTAAATGCCCATTAGTACAATCGTTGGATGATAAGGTAGTTCTATTTTTAACTTTTTGAGGAACTTCCATTCTATTTTCCATAGTGGATGCACACCAATTTTTACTCCCACCAACAGTGCACTAGTGTTCCTTTTTCTCCACATCCTTGCCAACACCTGCTGTTTCTTGTGTTACAGGTTTTAGCCATTCTAACAGGTGTGAGGTGATAGCTCACTGTAGTTTTGATTTGCATTTCCCTGATAAGGGATGATGAGCATTTTTTCGGTGTGTTGGTCATCTATATGTCATCTTTGGAGAAATGTCTATTTCTGTTTTCTGCCCATTTTTTTAAATTGGATTATTTGGTGGTTTGGGGAGGTGTTGAGTTGTATACATTCCTTGTATATTTTGGATACCAACCCTTTATCGGATATGTAATTTGCAAATATCTTCTCCCATTATGAGGTTGCCTTTTAGTTTTGTTGATTGTTTCCTTCACTGTGTAGAAGCTTCTTATTTTGATGTAGTCCCAATAGTTTATTTTTGCTTTTTTTCCACCCTTGCCTCTGGAAATATATCTAGTAAGAAGTTGCTATTGCGAATGTCAAAAAGTTATTGCCTGTGTTCTCTTTTACATTTTTTTAAATGATTTCAGGTCTCACAGTTACGTCTTTAATCTATTTTGAATTTATTTTTGTGTATGATATAAGGAAGTGGTCCAGTTTCATTCTTTGCATGTTGCTGTCCAGTTTTCCCAACACCATTTGTTGAAGAGACTGTCTTTTTCTCATTGGATATTCTTTCCTGCTTTGTCTAAGATTAACTGACCATATAGCTGTGGGTTCATTTCTGGATTTTCTATTCTGCTCCAAGGATCTATGTGTCCGTTTTTGTGCCAGCACCATACTGTTTTGTTCACTACAGCTTTGTAATATAACTTGAAGTCTGGAATTGTGATGCCTCCAGCTTTGTTTTTCTTTTAAATGTTGCTTTGGCTATTCAGGTCTTTTGTGGTTCTATACAAATTTTAGGATTGTTTGTTCTAGCTCTGTGAAAAATGCTGTTAGTATTTTGATAGGGATTGCATTAAATGTGTAGATTGCTTTGGATAGTATAGACATTTTAACAGTATTTGTTCTTCCAAGCCATGAGCATGGAATGTCGTTCCATTTATTTGTGTCTTCTTCAATTGCTGTCATCAATACTTTATAGTTTCAGAGTTCAGGTCTTTCACCTCCTTGGTTAGGTTTATTCCTAGATGTCTTATTATTTTTGGAGCAATTTTTAATGGGATTTTTTCCTTTAATTTCTCTTTCTGTTGCTTCATTATTGGTATATAGAAATGTAACAAGTATGTCCACAATTATTTTGTATTCTGTGACTTTATTGAATTCATGTATCAGGTCTAGCAACTTTTTGATGGAATATTTCTGGTTTTCTCTATAGAGTATCATGTCACCTGTAAATAGTGCTTCTTCCTTGCCTGTTCATATGCCTTTTATTTCTTTTTATTGTCTGATTACTGTAGCTAAGACTTCCAGTATTATGTTAAATAGCAGTGGTGAGAGTGGACATCTCTGTCTTGCTCCTGACTGAAAAGGAAAAGCTCTCAGTTTTGTTTTGTTTTGTTTCCCCTCGAAGATGATATTAGCTCTTGGTTTCCATATAGGGCATTTATTATGTTGAGGTATGTTTATTCTAAACTTACTTTGTTGAGGGTTGTTGTCATGAATGTATGTTGTACTTTGTCAAATGTTTTTTCTGCATCTATTGAAATGATCATATGGTACTTATCCTTTTTTTATTAATGTGCTGTATCACACTGATTGATTTGTGAGTATTGAACCAACTTTGCAAGATATGAATGAACCCCACTTGATCATGATGAATGACTTTTTAATGTATTGCTGGATTCAATTTGCTAATATTTTATTTAGAATTTTTGCACATAAGTTCATCAGGAATATTGGCCTGTAGATCACCTTTTCAGTGGAGTCCTTATCTGGTTTTGATATCAGTGTAATGCTGGCCTTATAGAATGAATTTGGACATTTTCCTTCGTTTTCTATTTTTTGAATCATTTGAAAAGGATAGGTATTAAGTATTCTTTAAATGTTTCATAGAATTTGCCTGTAACTCCATCTGGCCCTGGACTTTTGTTTGTTGGGAGACATTTGCTTACTGATTCAATTTCTTTGCTGGTTATGGGTTTCTTCAAGTTTTCTAATTCTTACTCTTTCAGTTTTGGTAATTTATATGTTTCTCAACATTTATCCATTTCTTACAGATTGTCCACTTTGTTGGCATAGAGTTTTCATAATATTGTCTTATAATTCTTTGTATTTTGTGCTGTTGCTTGTTATTTCTCCTCTCTTGTTTTTTATCTTATTTATTTGGGTCCTTTCTTTTATCTTTTTGACAAGTCTGGCTAGAGGTTTATCAATTTTATTGATATTTTCAAAGAACCAGTTCCTGGGTTTATTGATCTGTTCTAATTATTTTTTTTAATTTTTAGGTTCTATATCATCTATTTCTGCTTGAATCTTTATTACTTCCATCCATCTGCTGGCTTTATGCTTCACTTGTTCTTTTTTTACCTCCTTTAAGTGTAAGTTTTGGTGATTTATTTCTGATTTTTCTTGATTATTGAGGTAAGACTCTATTGCTATATATTTCCCTCTTTAGAATGCTTTTGCTGCAATCCAAACGTTTTGGACCTTCCTGTTTTCATTGTTATTTGTTTCCATGTATTTTTAAAATTGCTTTGATTTCCTGGTTGACCAATTTATTGTTTAGTAGCATGTTGTTTAACCTGATTGAGCTGGGTATTTACCAGACCACTCTGAGCACACATGAAATCAGCCTGAGATGTAAGAAGATCTGAATCTCTACAAACAGAATGTCGCAGGTGGTTGGTTTTCAGGTACTAAGCAGGGAGCCCTGATTCTGTGGACAGATATCAGAGGATAAACGGCAGCAGGAGGGAGCTTGGCCATGGGGATCCTACACCGCTGGTGAGTGACAGCCTCGCTTGCTGGGGATAGGGCACAGACTCGCAGACTGGTAGCGGTGGGGAAAGGATGTTAGGGCAGAAACCCAAGGTGGTGGGGTCACACGTGTGAACTGGGGGTGGCTGTGGGTTTTAGAAGCACAAACCACAGAGACATGCCCCAACCTGGAGGCAGGACTGGGAGCACTGCGGAGGGGCACACAACCCAGGACGTTGCAGTTTATAGCAGCACAGACAGAAACGGAGACAGTGTGGCCTGGAGAGCTCACTGAAGAACAGACTGTGATCTCTCTGCTCCCCCTGAGGCAGAGGGTTGGAAATGGTCTCTTCTGCTCTGACTCACAGAAGAGATGTGGAAAGCCACTAAGGAAAGCCACCAGAGAACAAAAGCCCCAAAAAACTGATTCCCACTAAGCCCATCCCTGCCACAGGGGGGCAGGGCAACTCTGCCCAAAGAGGGTTGCCTGAATAACAGTGCAGCAGACCCCTCCCCCAGAAGACAGGCTGGGAGAACAAGAGGCCAGCAACCATAAGGTTCCTAGAAAACAGGTGCATCTTGCTTGGGTTCTGGTCAATAATTAGGACTCTATACATTCCCTCAACCACCCCTCAAC